TGTAAAAGTAGCTACTGTTGTCAAAACCTGGTTTATCTCTTCAACAAACTCTGGTTCCAGGTGCTTAGACAGTGACTTCCTCCAGCACAGTGGTTTGACTTTCTTTAAAACTTCAGCAATGAACATGTACTACTTGAATCTTGTATATTTATTCAATTTAAATAATTTTAATATTATTAAGATTATGCCTTAAAATAGATTGTCATAATTTCATATTAAATTTTAAATGGGTTTTATTTTTACAAAGAAAATGTGTTTAACTTAAATCTAAAAAAATCCTATTTAAATTTTTTAAAGCTTTCCCCCACTTAAAAAAAGTCATTGGGTTTTATCCAGCCTGCTTTCTGATGCTGTCTGTTTGAGAGAAGACTTTTCAGCATTTTAGATCATTTCACTAATTCTGTGATAGCTTTGATTTATGCAATGGCTGAAATAAGAAATGCAAAGGTGAAAGGCTGAGAGTCCAAGATGTTGAGTCATTCAGATCTCAGATACAGACACCAATAAAATAAATCTAAATAAATAATATATGGTGAAAAATAAATTAGGTTATTAAAATATGTTCAGTGCAGGCACTGAGAGCAGAACAGGTGTCCATTTTCAACAAATATGGAGCCTGATTCTCCAATCTTTACTCAGGCAAAACGCTCATTAAAGTCTGAAATGTTGTATGAGTAGACACTGCAGGGTTAGGACCATGATTTTTAACCTGTGTCAGTACGACCATCTTTATATGGGCAAAACTCTTGAATTCTGTGGGAGCTTGACTGAGTAAAGGACTGTTGGATTTGGTCCAAGTGAAAGAGCCAAAGCCTTCTATGGAGGAAGTGAGAATCTTGATGCAGCCAGGCAACATTTTCCCTTTATCACAAAGAAAATGGATCATTTAATCTACAAACTGTAATTTTGGGAAAAATTTAGATATAACAAGAAATCTCAAACTTGAAGGTCTCATTTCCTTTAAAGAGCAATAGGTTCTCAAACATGAGGCTAATAAAGATCGTTCACTGAAAAAGGACAAAGAGGTTAATCTTTCACTGTATAAAATGATGAGTTTCATTCACTAATTGGTCCCTAACAAAAGTGGTATCTAGGACAGTCTTCCTGCATATTTTTAAATTATATTTATTCCCTCTAAAAATTATGTTTTATGTTATTACTGGCTTTATCTGACCTGAAATAAGTTTGGATGTTTATTAATGAACTAAGTATATTGTCATCAGTTTTTATTGAAAGATAGCTATTTGACTGTTGTAGCCTTTCATATCAATGTGATTTTATTTTTTAAATATGTTGAAAACAATTCAGAAATTCTTGGCTATATCTCAAGTATATAGAATAGTCATACTTTTCTGTTAGCCTAAAGAACATGACCCAATATTTGGTGCTCAGATACATATGCAACATTGGATTTTTCAAAAAATAGATGAAGAAAACTTAACACAGAGAGTTGCATCCTGATCACTGCTCTTCTCTCACTAGAACACAGTACTTGCCCATTTCTACCACCTTCCATCTGAAGACCTCAAATTACTTTACAGTTGTTAAATGACTTAAGCTTCACAGAACCATTGTTAGATATGTAAATATTATCATCTGCATTTTATAGATGGGGATACCAAAGTACCCTGAGGGTTGTGACATACCCCATTTCTCACAGAAAATCTGTGATCATCTCTTTCCTAGTCCTGTGCTTCAACCACAGGTTTATCTTTGGCTTCTCCTGTTTCCACTTGTTTTACAGCTTGGCGTCTGCTTTGCTCAATCCAGTGTCTCTGTGACTAAAAGGAAAATCGGTACAATGTGAAAACCTGATTTTATTAATTCAGAGACAGATGTGTTAATTACAGGGATATCAAAACGTAAACAGTGCCCCCGAACCAAATCAACTTTTAACTTTTCCTATTTATCAAGTATAGTTTGCCAAATTTCTGTCTATGAAGCTTGTTCTCCTGAAAGTTGAAATAACCCAATGTCTGACTACCCTCTTAGCCAAAAAAAAAAAAGTCTCCTCCTGATTATCCTTACTACATAGCATAATGAGTAAAACATTTTCAAAATAATTTCAGAATCAAATGTCTCCCTCGGTAACCTCATTTGTAGGTGATGGAGAACAAACTTTTACCAAGAGTGCTTTTAAATAAATCATAATTATGTATGCAGAAGCCTCAACTAAATTTGGGTACTCAATGATTAATCACAGTTGGGAAAGGTTGAAATATGTAATTTGTTTAAATAGACAGTCCCCAGCCACTCCTCCCCACACGTATTTTTGCTTTCTTCTTTTGGGTTACAGTAGTTTTACTACTAAATGTCACCTGGAGAGAATTAAAAGCACTCCTAAATGCAACTTGCACACATCCGTTTAAAGGTGTAATTGATGCTTTTACATTTGCAACATGAGCAGATCTTTTGGAAAATATAGCCTCCAACCTTTTATCTTCTGTTTTGTTCTTTTGATATTTGTAAATGTTAAGCAATGTAAATTATGGGGCTTGTGAAATTGAAATATCCACAGAAAAGATCAAAATGTTAAAAAGCCTTTCAAGGGGTATAATATCTCTTCATTACCTTTTTTTTTTTTTTTCATTTCTTGATTTAACCTGTTTTCTCTTTAGATTATTATAGCATATGTAACAGCAGCAGCCGTAGTTAAGATTGTATAAGCATATACATTGTAACTGTAAATTATTAAAATGTATACTGTAGAGAGAAGAGAATTTAAAGTGTAACTCAATAAAGATACACTGAACCATTATGGCAATGAAAGTAAAGTATGCAAGAATGAACGGTATTACAAGATGCTACTCATGTACGTCTTAGGTTGTAGGAAATACTTCAGGAGGATATATGGCTTTATTTGAGCTTTCTGTATAAAAAAGCTTTTCTACAAAGCTGAGAAACAATGCCTGACTTGAAAGTACTGGTACCAGGGGAGAGTGGGCCAGTTATAGTCAATTTGCTCTCTAATTAAGTTAGAAAAGTTAGAATAGCTAGTTAACCGTGAGTATGCCATGATTCTCCCACTCTTTGAAGCTCTCTGGTTTGCAATTTGGTTTAAGATGCGGATTATTATCAATGGCAAGGGAAAAGAGCATATCTGTGATTATGTGACTAATGTCTGTATTATAATGCAGCTGAAGAATAGGGCATGGTTAGAGTTGCAAATATAACCTTACCTTTGACATTTCTTGACATTTGAGTGCTTAATCATGCAGTCTTAACATCCTGTTTACATAGCTTTTGGATGCAGTTTTTCTTTAAGTGTTACAGATCAAGTTTTTGAGTGAGTGACCCATGAAAGAACTCTTTCATAACTCCACCAAGCTGTTGAGCTTGTTGATCACATCAAACAATCTCAGTTATACATGTAAAGCTTCCAGAGCTTTGGAAGATGGTGAAAGTGGTCTAATTTCAGCTGAAAATATTGGCTGCTCTGAAACGATATAAAAACACATATGTTTATTTACTGATTAAATCTCTTTCTGTAATAAGGTAACATTACAATAGCACATTTAATTACAAATATATCCCTTTTACAGACCCATTAAATAGGGGGGACTAGCTGTTCCAAATGTTCTATGGTACTAACAAGCCAGCTAGCTCTAAGCAGTAGTGGAATGGGAATGCGCTAACCCAGCCAAACACTGGGCCTTCTTAGAACAAGAAAATTGTGTCTGTAAATATTGCTGTGCTATCATGGATTCATAAAAAAAATCATGCCCACCAGAAATTTACACACATCCTTTAACAAAGGCTACTCTGTAGGTTTGGGATAGAAATAAGATCAGTTCTTTTCCTTCGCCAATGACACCTACTGTTAATAATCCACATCTTAACCCATATCACAAACCAGAGAGCTTCAAAGATTGAGAGAATCATGGGCATTCATGGTTGACTAGCTATTCAGCAGAGAAACTTTTCCAACTTAATTAGAGAGTCAAACTAACTATAACTGGCCCAGTCTCCCTGGTTCCAGTACTTTTGAGTCAGGCATTATATTTCTCAGCTTTCCAGAATACCTTTTTTATACATAAAGGTAACTTTAATAGGTAGCATAATAAAATAATAAGATTCTGATTCAGTGGTACCTCATACCAGTTAGGTTAAAAATATATAGAGAGATTGAATAGGAATGCATGTTGGAGAAATTGTGGTGAAAGAGGAGAATTAATGCATATATAGTGGACATGTCCAGTCATTAGAGAACTCTGGGATGCAATCCATAACCAAATATCACAAATTGTTGGATATTTATTACCGAATGATCCTTTGGTAACCTTCCTTGGGCTTGCTAGTGGAAATGGTGACGAGGAAATGAAGAATTACTCTCATCGGTTAGTTGCCACTCAGCTATTGGTAGCCTCTCATAGGAAAAAGAAAAATAGTCCAAATATAGAGGAATGGTTCAAAAAATATGGGAGGTTGTGGTTATGGAAAAATTAACACACTAACTATGTTCCGAGCAAAACAGACATTGATACTTAAATATTTGGTTACTTTTATTCAATACTCAGACATAGTACATTCACCTTAAAAAACCCAACACACTTGTCAATTTTTTTTAATAATAATATTTGATAGATATACCTGCTCTGTTAAATATGTGTATATTGAGATTTCACTCAATAAAATCCTAGAAGCGACATATTATATGTGTCAGAATGGTGCTCACTTTGTAATGTGGTAACACCCCGTTAAATAGAAAGATCTGATGACTGTATCCCTATATAATGTTTCTGTAAACAAAAACAACTGTTATAATGATTGTTTTGTTTTTGATATTTACATGGCAAGAGTTTGTAAACTTGTTAAAAAATCCTAAATAAATAAATAGTTTATATATATATATATATATATATATATAATCTACTTTAACTATTAAACAAATTCTAAAACACACACACACACACTTTTAGAATTTGTTTAATAGTTAAAGTAGATTTTTTTCTGAATTAAAATTTAGATTATACAAAAACTTAAGCCAGAAGCTATTGAAGAAATAAAGAAATATCCTGATGTTTTAATCAGTCAATATTTGACTGATTCTTATGTAGTTCAAATGCGGCAGAAATGGATATAGTGTTCCCACAGTGGTGTCCATTGGAGCTATAGATGTCCCATTGTTGCCAGACAGCTTCCCACTTTATAAATATAACCTAAGAGTTAGAACTCTATGAAAGCAGAAATGACTTGTGCTGACACACAAGAGATCATGGCCAGCGGCATGCACAGTTCATTAGAGAAGGGAAGACTAATGCACTGACTGCCAGATGTACAGCTGATCTGTCATTAAACAGAGAGATTCTGACTTAGTTGTTAGCAGTCTCTCAGGCTTTTCAAAACATTATATATTCTGTGCAACAAATACTGGAGTAGGGAACTGATCTATTTTAGAATACTTTTAACTTATTGTAGTCATCATTTTCTTTCTTTACTGTATGAGCTCTCACTGCATTTATTTAGATCTTCCCTGGTTATGAAGATAAAATGTATGAGATTTTAAAAAAACAACACTTTCCCCTCAATATTTAATCCTCTCAATTTTGCTTCTTAATCAGCTAATGAGGGCAAAAGACTCACCCTCCCAGCTGAATGTGTTGCTGCACTCAACCTCTTCTGGCTTACAGTATTAGATTAATTCTTTATCACTCCCGGGATTGCTCATTGCACAGTTCTGGGCCATTAGAGAATAGTCTTATATTTAAAATCAACATTCTGTAGATGTTACTCAGAGGTTTAATGTAGTTAAGACCTTAATGCCTAGTTTGGAAAAGACATTTAATGATATTGAAGAAATGGTGCAAAGCAGAGAAATTTATGGCCATTTCTGCAGATATTAAAGAATTAAGATGTTGAGAAACTGATATGGCCACCTGGACAGACCTCTCCTGTGGAGAAATATGAAATTCATAGAGGCGTACTTTGTGATCTGGAGGTGGAAGGAATTGTACATTTCTTGAAAATTGCATCATGAATACATGTCTTTCCCTTTTAAATTGGCCTGTAGCCAGTCTAATATTTGGGAAACCGAGTCAGGTGGAGCTTTACATTTTTTTTGTGGGCTACGTAACTCTTTTTGGCACATATAGCTCAGTATTTTGAAGATGACAATAAATTACGAATACATATTCCAAGTCTCATAGGTTTTGTGCTAGCCAGATTAGACTCATAGGTCACTTTATGAGCAGGCAACAATTATGTTTTTCAAAACTGAACTAAAACCAGAATATGGCCCAGGATTTTGCACTGATTTGTCTTTCAAGATGTAGAATTATTTTCAGTGGCCAACTTACTTTAAATGTGTTTAAGTGTTGGTATTTTCATTAATACTCATTAAGAGACTTTTCTACCATCTAATACATTTTGCCTTCAGTAAGTTTTTTACTTTCTTAACTTCATCCCATTACTTCTAGTTATACTCCCATATATCATACTAAATAATATCTCCTCTCTCTTTCAGATATTTGTAGCGGTTACCATGTTCCACCCTTGAGTCATCTCTGACAGGCTATGCATATTTAAATCTTTCCTCAAAAATCTAACCCTCCAGCTCCACATTTTTGTTGCTCTTCTGTAAGCATTCTCCAATTTGCCAGTATCTCTTTATTTACAAGGTGTCCAGAGTGAGTGCAATATTCAAAGTGTGCGGTGTGGAGCCATTATATGATGTGATCTCTTTATATGCTACCAACACATGGATTGGAATTGCAGCCAAATCATTTTCAAGAGCAAAGAAATGCTTCTGCCTAGTAACTTGCTGTAGACAAGCCCCTGGTTTTCTTTTGGTATCACTTCTCCCAACCTGTTCCTTCCCAGGAAACATATATGTGCAGCATTATTTTTTCCATAGATGTATTATATTGATCATCACTGGTATTGGCATCTCCTCCCAAACTGATGTAATCTGTGAGCTTCCTTAACATTAATTTTTAGGAGCAATATATCAGAAATCTGAGTGAATAATTGCTATAGAAAAAATATAAAATGAATTTTGTCTCTTCGTTTTGTAAATTGCCCATAAACAGATTATGATTTTCCATTAATCATTTTTCAAAAATATTCACTGAATAATTCTGGAGAATAATTCTTGTTTTATAGAGTGTTTATGAACAATACTCTGTGTGGACTCAATGAACTGAAATGTCAAATTCTAGCTGTTTTAATTGGACACTTAGGCCCAAATTTGTGGCCAAGGATCACTTGGCACAGCTTGAGAGATTTGGACAATGGTGGTTTTAAGCCACCGGTGCCACCTGCCTCTATTTGGGAGACTTTTTGGCACTAGGATGCTGCCCGACATAAAATGGGGCAACCTACATCAGCTGTCAGTGGCCCCAACAGACCATTTCAACACCCGGAAATCATTTGGGAAAAAGGGGGGCTTGCCCACACCCATTACCCTTGTTTACTGAAGACAGAAGTTAGAATCATGGAGAGTAATTACCAGAATCAGTCTCCTTTCTTTTTTTTTGAAGATTAGAACTAGATTTGCTTTTCTCCAATTTCTTAGTACTTCCCAATAGTTTTCAAAACTAATTTCCAGTAGTGTATAGTAAGTTTATTTTCTAACTTGCTTAATAGCTTAGGATATAGACTACCCAGACTTTTATGGATCTGATTCTCACTAACTGTCAGTGAGATGTAAAAGGGACCTTAGTGTAAATTAATCAGTTCCATATGTGTTCAAACTTTCTACATATTTCCTAATTGCATTTTATTACTAGCTATTTTTATAATGTCTAATCACTTCCTCGTTGTCAATCATCTTTTCTTTATTTGTGTTATGGAAGATTTTTTTTTTTGTAAGGAAGTTAGTATCTCAGACATTTTAAAGTCATTAATTTCTGTGGTTATTCCAACGGTGGCTGTCTCTGACTAAAAGCCATAAGATTCTTGACTCATTTATTCTGGCTAAATTGGCTTTAAGTACTTGTTGCTTTTTTTTTCCTACTGAGAAAGAGTATCCTGTTTATTCAGTGTATCTGATTCTGCTGTGCCTCTGCCTTTAACTTTACTCACAAAATTAGAAAACTTGGACACAGTCCTGGACCCTAGATTTTTCCCTTTTTATACTTCCATATCTTTCCTGGTTTAGTCTGCTTGTTGGCCGTCTCCTGAATATTATCAGATTTTATCCTCACTCAGACCTGACAAGAAATCTATATTCATGCCTTAATTACCTCTCCTTTCAACTATTGCAATTACCTCATTATGTTTTTTTAAGTCCCTACTTTTTCAACTTCAGGAATGCCACAGTGCGGCAGCCAGATTATTTTGTTACTTGAAACAAGATATTTTTGCCATCTTCCATCATTGTTGATGACTCCTTACCCAAAGTCAATTCAAAACTATACTCTTGGTTTTCATAACTTAGTTGACTTGTTAACATAACTCTGTGACTTTCCACTATTGTGGTGTTGTCCTTTCACTTAAGCTACCCTTTCCTCTTATGTGGGACTCACATGATCTATTTTTCTGAACTACAGAATCAAAGTTTTCCTTTTCTCTATAGTTAGTGATTGACAGTCTCCAGCTTGATCAAACATTTGTAATATTCTTACAATAAATTGTGTGTAAAAAGAAAATAAATGGAATTGTACATTAGTCCAGGATTTCTTCTTTGTAGTTATGGTGCAAATAATATTTCTGTATAGAATTTTTTTTTTCGATTAGGGCTTGCTTTGTAGAGGGCACAGGTGTCCATGTATTTAATATTCCACCATGCTATGTTTTTTGCACTTGCCTTAATGTTTAATACAGGCATAGGACCAAATCTAGAGATAGTGGATACGGTACTGTAAAGAAGCCTAAGGGGCCTATACCTTCTTCTGGCCTGTCACGAGGTTACTCACCACACTGGCGCCTCCTGCTGTCCATTTCGGGAATTAGCTCTGGTCAGCAGGTATGCCCTCCAGTGGTGGTGGCTCTCCTGTCCTCATCTCTTCCTGCAGATCCACTGCAGTTCCAGTCTCACTGCCTCTGCTTTGTGGCACAGCCCTCCGGCCATGTCACAATCCAGGTTCTCCCCTTCCAGGGGACTCCTTCTGCAACAGTCTAACCTCTCCTCACACTGGCTTGGCAGTCTATAGCCTGGCCGCTTCTTCAGAGGCAGCGGGGGAGGGGGGAGATGAGACCCAGGCCCACCCACTACTCTGGGTCCCAACAGTTTCCCGCTGCCCCTCCTTTCTTTCTCCACCAGTCTGTCTCAGTTCTCTGGGCCACTTCCCCGTAGCCCCATCACCTTCTGCTCCTACACCCTCCTCCCAGAGCCTCGGGCCTGCAAGCCCTAGCAGCCCTGTTCATGATGCTAGTCTCTGCAGCCCTCTAGGAAGCCAGTCTCCCTCCCTTGTGCTTCCTGCTGGAGACTCACTTGTTCTGGCCTGCAGCTTCCTTTTATATGGGTCAGCTGGGCCCTGATTGGCTGGTCCAGCCGCCCCCCTAATTGGCTGTTTCCTTGCAGCCCTTCAGGCTGGGTTTTAACCCTATCAGGGACAGTGGAGGGCAGGCGCCCCATCAAATGGCCTCTAAGTATGTACATTACAATAACTTAGACTCATGGACTTATCATGACATCATATTGGAGATTCAGGGAACTTCTATGGCCTGTGCTATACAGTAGATCAGACTAAATGATCACAGTGGACCCTTCTGGCCTTAAAGTCTATGAATATATGAATCTTACTGACTTGTATGTGTCACCTTTAACACATCACATTTCAATTTGGCTCCCAGCCTTGAGCAGCTCTGCAGATGTCTGCTAAACCTTGTGCAACTATTGCCAACTCTGGTGAACCTAACAAATACTAATAGGTTGCTAAACTAATATGTGTTACTGAAACCTGTGCCCCTGAAACCTGAACACACCATTTCCACTAATCCAGCTTCCCATCCCCTTGTCAAGGGCACACTCACAGTTGGTGGAATAGGGGTTGCAGAGTACTGGTGACTGCCTACCCATATTTGAATAATTGGGAAAGTTCTGAATGGAGTTACTGCTCTTATATCCTCAAAACTACACTGGACAAAACACTAGAAAATATAATAGAAACAATCCTGCATTGATCCCTGGGGCAATGGCCTAGATGGGACCTAAAAAGTATTTTTATATCATTGGCTTTTTTCATGAATATGCTTTTTATTTGCTAATTTCTTTATTTCTTTTCTTCTTCCATTTGATGGTTACATATTTTAAATAATGACATTTTGGCTAAATTTGGATCTGTACGGCATCTCATGGCCAACCATATCTTGAGAGACAGCTTTTGCTGATCTGTGGTATTCTGAAAATAAATATTTTTCATCCTGAATATAATTAAATACACATACCCCCATAACCAATGCCATTGTGATTAATTGTTACCACAAAATAATAATCCAAACATCAGGCATTCCCTATGAGAGAGGGCTGATTACCCTTTGGTGTAAGGGAAGGGCTGTCTAATGTTGGAATTTTATTTGGTGCTAGCGTTTATTTGCTGTGGATAGAAACTGTCTGAATGTTCACAAACTAGGTGATAGGTTGCTCCTCCAATGCCTGGTGCCCCTAGTGTTTGCAGCTGCCCTTTGTTACACAAGTGGCCATTAAACCACAGTGACTGTTAGAATCACGTGTACAGACACGAACCCAGTCGAATGTTAATGTATCTTGTGCTAAAGGTGGCATTTCTGTTCTCTTCCCAAAAGATTTGTCCTAATTAGATTGCTGACATGCAGGATCTAATTTCATTACACCCTTGAAAATCACAATTTTGCCTTGGCTGACCAAATCACGTGTAGTTATTGTAGCATTGTAAACACCACCTGGCTGGCACAAAATGCTATAATGCATACACAGTATTAAACTATTGATTCATTCCAGGTAAAGTTTGTATCAGTACAAATTAAATACATGAATCATAGAAATCAGAGATGGAGCAGAATTATTAAGTCTTCAGATTCATCCCTTGGGGACTGCTGCAGGATTGTTCCCTACAGTGTAATTTGCTAGCGTTATATTCAGTCAGTACAATTTCATATGACTCAAGTGATGGAGCTTTCACCCCTTTCCGATAGTAACTACTCCCCAATTTACTAGATTTCTACCGTTAGTAATCTTTCCTGATATCCAGTCTGAATTTGTCTATCTAATTTCACTTAATTGCTTCCCCTATATCACACTAAACAATTACTCTCCCTTCTTGAATTTCACACTCTTCAAATAGCATATTTATAGACAGTCATTCTGTCCCTCCCACTATCTAAGTTGTTACTTAATCAAGTTTAGCTAATGTTTGGTTTTTAATATTTCTTCATAAGTCAATCCCTCCAGCCTCTAAATCATTTTTGTCATCTTCTCTGAACTCCCTCTAGTTTGTGTATATCTTTTTGGTATTGAGATGCAGGGAATTGAATGAGTATTCAAAGTTTAGTCTCACCAGAATCATATGGAGATAACCTATCATCTCCCTGCTCTCTGACATGATGCAAACCAAAAATTGCACTCATTTTTTTGGACTTCCATATTTCATGTCTAAAATAGTTCAAATTTGAATCACTATGAACTCGGGTCAGTGTTTTTGCTGTTCAAATTGCAC